CAATTATTAATTTTACTGCAATTAATAAACTTACCGTACTTAACAAGAACGAACAGATCAGTAGAAGCCACTTAACTAACACTAACGCGTAGTAACACCATACAAGCGAAGAAACTTATTGCACAATATTAGCAAATTACATTACATATCCGACTAGAATTTAGAGTTCGGTAGTCAAGAGGTTGGCATTAGGCATGCCTAATTCCGCGTTAGGGCATAATGCGGAAACCGCATTAGGCCCTAATCACGAACGTAACGCATGCCCCCAAAAATGCCTAATTAGGAAAACCTCATTAGGGCAACATTAGGCTGTAATTAGGAAATGTGGCATACGAATATTGGGTTATGCGGACCTAATGCGGCTTCCTCATTAGGCCCTTGTGCCTTCATTTAATTATATCCTAATATCTACCCAATGAGGTTTTCCTATTTGAATTTACTTTCATAAAAAAATGGAATGTAGGTTATAAGTAAAAATTGTAAGCAATACTTTATACATATATTAAATAAAAAGCAATACAGGAAATAGAAAACAATGTGCCTATATATATTGTTGCATCCCAACGATCTCAATAACTTTGCATAATAAATCATTACCTACATGACACTAATTGCTACCCCCTCCATATAGGGTTGACCTAAATTTGGTATAAAAGGGATGCTGGTTGCACCCAATTTCAGTTCTGTTCCAGTTCTATTTTTGAAACAGTTCGAATAGAAAGTCTTAGATGGTTAATGACCCATCCTGTACAATTTGTGTATCGTGACTTTCCGATTTTTAATAAAGAAGTAATTATTATCAAGGTGTTGTTACTCATCGTAATACATTAGTTGGATAATTATTTCAATAATTGAAAGTAATACCAAGTGAATAAACAATCATTTGGAAGTGAAGGTGTTAATGTGTAATTAATAGTGTCAAGTGATTGTATTAGTGCCTGATGCTAATTACTTCACGCCTCAACTAGATTACGTCTCACCTTTCACCTAATTACTTATGAGTCCGGAGTCTCATTAAAACTGCCCTGGTGTCAGAAACATTTAAAAAATATATCACCAGCCACTTTTTGTCGTTGCCTCCAGCCAGGTATCCGACATAAAAATTGGTGTCAGAAGTGGGATTCGTCAGTCGTTGTCAAGGAACAAGAATAGTCCCCAGCGGTAACCTAATGGTGTCCGGTGATAGCGATTGTGTTTCAACACTTAGCTGTGAAAAGAACCCATCATCCTAAACAAGCGGCAACCATTCACAAGTTGATTTGGCCATCCGCTGCCCCATCTCACCCCAGAGGTAAATTGAACGCCGTCCCAAGTGGACAACCAGCAAGACGCAACCTACTCCAGAAGTCGGGAACGTCATTCATCATCACTAAACCAAGTAAGTGTTGTTCTCGTTTTACCGTCCAAAATTACTCGCCTTTATCCAGATCTCGCTAGTTTCTTTAACATGAGCGAATCTAATAAAGATCGAAAACCGTTACCAAGCGTCAAAGACGACCCCGGCCAAGACGAGTCGGAGGACGATTACCAATTAGAGCCACTACCTCTATCTCTATTGTTTAAATTTATTAGGCCTTTTAATGGTAACAGGAAAGAACTTAGCAAATTTATTCAAAATTGTAATAGTGCCTTTCAGATGGCACAACCCAACCAAGTAAATCAATTGTTCCTTACGTTGCTGCCCAGCTATCCAGCGATGTGGTTAATGAATTAAATATGGAAGAAATCAGTAACTGGACAGATTTAAAATGTAAATCAAAATCTTATTACAGTCATGTAAAAGATCTAACCCAGTTACACGGGGAGTCAGAGACAGTCAAACAAAACTCAAACGAGTCAGTTACCGATTTCTTTAAACATTTAGAAAACTTAAAGAACGAATGTATCGCAGCAGAAAAAAACAACTGCGAAACTCCCGATGAAATTCCAAGTTTAGTTAGGGCAATCCAGAGAACTACACTTAGGCGATTTATTTTGCACAGCAAACCAGAGATTTCGCAAATGTTGAGAGCTAGGGACATTACAAGAGGAAAAAATCCTAAATTACACAAAAACACAAAACTAATTCACTTTATTGTAGTTTTTGCAGAAGTAACACCCATTCTACACAAAATTACAGGAAAAAAACTAATCTTATTAATCATAATCCTCAACACAATCAAAATTCGTCACGTAGTAGCTATAATAATAACCCCAATAAGAATTCGTTTCCCTCTTCCTCCTACGATCCTGCCAAATTCTGCAATTATTGTAAAAATAAGGGTCATACAATACAGGAATGTAGGAAAAGACAATTTAGGAATCAAAATAACAATTCCCAAAATAAAGTGAATCATTTAAACTTAAAAACATCCCTGGAAACGAATGCCCTTCCAGAGGATTCAGAAATACAAGCGGCATTCAACAATGCGTAACTGCCCTCTGTAATTCAAACGAAAATCAAAAAACACTCATTTTTAGCTCAAACAATTCTAAACAAAATCTAACTTTTCTAGTAGATACAGGTGCTACTATATCTCTCATTAAACATACATCCTTGATCCCCTCTAAAACCTACCTTAAAAAGGACGACATTATCACCATTAGCGGTATAAATCCAAACAGCCCTTGATCTCTCAGCGGAAGACCTCACACTTAAATCAAAAGTGCACGTCATAAACGCTGCAAAAATTTCAACTCCATTCGAAGGGATACTAAGAAACGACTTCCTCGAATCGCAACAAGCCGAAATCAATTACAAGGAGCAATATGTCAAGATACAGGACAAGAAGCTGTTCTTCAATAGACAATCTCCGCCAGAACCTCCTATCACGCTACCCCCTAGAAGCGAAACGGTCATACAGATCAACGTTACCAATAGGGTAAAAGAAGGCGTGACCCAGGCTCCTCAACTCGGCGAACATATTTTATTACCTAGTGCCATGGTCACTGTGAATGACAACAAGAAGGCTCTCTGCACGGTCATCAATACCAGCGATTCAGAGGTCACCATCCTGCAACCGTCGGTAGAACTAGAGGAGATCAAACAACATCACAAAGTTTATGAAGTCCGTCAATTAAACCAAAAGGTACCCCTCAGTCATACAAATAGGTTCGAGCTCCTCGACGAAAATCTGCGCCTCGACCACCTTAACAAAGAGGACAAAACATCCATACACAAAATCTGCTATGATTTCCACCATATTTTTCATCTCCCTGCAGATCAGCTAACATCTACCACAGCGGTCACACATCAGATTCACAGTAACAAATACCTCTCCAATATTTACCAAAACTTACAGGTATCCTAAAATCCACGAAGAAGAAGTCAATAAACAAATAAATAAGATACTGGAGCAAAATATCATAGAGTCATCCACATCCCCATGGTCATCTCCCGTGTGGGTCGTCCCCAAAAAGATGGATGCCTCTGGCGAAAAGAAGTGGAGGATCGTCATAGATTACCGCAAACTGAACGAGGTAACAATAGGCGACGCATACCCCCTTCCTAATATCGAAAGCATCCTGGATCAACTAGGACAATCCAAGTATTTTACAACCCTCGACCTCGCCTCTGGCTTCCATCAAATAAGGATGTCGGAAGAAGATAAAGATAAAACCGCATTCAGTACGCCTTTGGGTCATTACCAGTACAACAGGATGCCTTTCGGACTGAAGAACGCCCCGGCGACCTTTCAAAGGCTCATGAACAACGGTACAGGACTTCAAGGAATAAAATGTTTCGTATATCTAGATGATATTGTTGTATACAGGAAATCACTTCAAGACCACAACAATAAATTAATTGATATTTTCAAGAAACTCGAGGAACACAATCTAAAATTACAGCCCGACAAGTGCGAGTTATCATTTCAGATAAGGGTGTCGAACCAAATCCTAAAAAAGTTAAGGCTATATCCGAAATCAAAACTTCAAAAACTCCGAAGGATATTAAATCCTTCTTGGGCCTCGTCGGCTATTATAGAAAATTTATTCCTGATTTTTCTAAAATAGCAAAACCTTTAACAAAGCTGCTGAAGAAGAACGAAAAATTCCACTGGTCCCCCGAATGCGAAAAGGCATTTCAAACCTTAAAACGAAGGAACCAATTCTCAGGTATCCGGATTTCAATAAACCATTCATACTAACAACAGACGCCTCTAACGAAGCAATTGGCTCTGTCCTATCACAAGGTGAAATCGGATCTGATCAACCCATTGCGTATTATTCAAGGACGCTAAACAAGGCGGAACTCAACTACTCCACCACAGAAAAGGAACTCCTGTCCATCGTGGATTCGGTGAAACATTTTAGATCTTATTTATTTGGTCAAAGATTCCTAATATGCACTGATCACAAACCCCTTATGTGGCTGAAGAACTGCAAGGACCCATCAAGTCGTTTAATACGATGGCGCCTTAAATTACTTGAATATGACTACGATATAATCCACAAACCAGGGAAATCCAACACAAATGCTGACTTTCTCAGCCGCCCTATTAATCAAGTGACCACCAACACCGAACCTAAAACCTTCAAATTTCACGTCTTTCATCAACAAAATTTGAACGTGAAGGAACCAACGAGAGACAAAACGGCAATTACACAAATTAAAAACCTAGTAATACCATTAGCCTGCGACGCACTCGACACTAATCTACACATAGAATACTTAAAGAAGCAATTCCCAAATAAGAATTTCCATGACGGATTACTAGAAGAAACCCGTACACTAAAATTACCCGGACAAGTAATCTACATTGTATACGTGAAACAGTTCACGCAAGATTCCACGAACTACAAAACTTTTTTCAACAGCTTTATAAACTTAAAACTTCTACTAGAGATAAATAAGACAACTTCATTCACAATTGTTGATTTAAGCTTACAAAATAACTTAATTCAACCAGATACGTTTAACAGCGTACTACAATATCTATTTGAGGGATATGACTACAAAATCTTGGACAACGGACGATTGACTATTGTAACACCAGAGGAAATGGAGCTGGTATTAATAGAAAACCACGATCATCCAATATCAGGCCACCAAGAATTCCAGCGTACATATGAAAGTATCAAAAATCGCTACTATTGGGATAACATAAGAGTATATAATGAACTACATAAAGAAATGTTCTGTGTGTCAACAATCTAAGACCAATTTTAAACCAAATAAAAGTCCAATGATTTTTACAACCACATCCCGTATATTTTGCGAGCAAATAGCGATGGATATCATCGGTCCATTACCAGAAACACAAAATGGAAACAGATTCATCTTAACCTTACAAGATGATCTCACCAAGTTCATCCAAGCTTTTGCAATGCCAGAGCACAACGCAACAATCGCTGCTATCCACTTTCTCAAATTTTGCTCCCAATTCGAATTCCCTGACAGTATATTGTCTGACCAAGGAAAGGAATTCACCTCTAATACATTCAAGGAAATTAACAAACTTCTTTCTATAAAACACAAACTAACCAGTCCCTATCATCCCCAGACTAACGGTTCCCTAGAACGAACACATCTGACATTAAAAGACTATTTCAAATGCTACGTAAATAAGGATAATAACGACTGGGACAATTATTTAGATTTTGCCACATTTTCATACAATACTCACATTCACAAATCCACGGGTGTAACTCCGTATGAACTAGTTTTTGGTCAAAATCCTAGAATACCCAACTCATTAAACCAACCAAAACAAAATAAAAATTATTCAGATCTCACACAAGAAATTACTTCCAAATTTCAGAAGATAAGGGAAGTAGCTCGTGAAAATCAACTAAAATCAAAAGGCAAATCAAAAAACCAATACGACAAGACACATAATAGACAGTATAATTTCTCTGAAAACGATTTAGTATTAGTAAATAATTCGCTTGCCAAAAACACCAATAAGAAACTAGCCAAAGAATACAAAGGCCCTTATAAAATAGTACAAGTGCACGATAATAACACAGCATCTGTAAGAATAACTAAAAATAAGTTAAAAACTTATCACTTTAATTTGCTGAAACCCTATGTTTCAGGTAAAAACACAAAAACAGAAAATGAATATTAAGAATCTCCTTTTATTCCTCCCCCTCGTCCAAATAATAACCTCATACCAAATTACACCCCTAAACTCCTCAAGCGGTTTAATTTACAAACACTTAGGAAAAGCTAAGATCTCAAATAAAAAGTTTTCATTATTAACATTTACAAACTTAACACAAATCAGAGAACAGATCAACAACGCTCACGATCTTTATACAAGCCGATTTATGTAACAACCTAATCTCCGAACACATTGATTTCCACTGCCAAAACCAAATTATAACCATACTTAATAAGATAAAAAGAATCTATCAAAATTTTAGGATAATTGCTCATCAA